TGAGAATATATATATATATATGTTCACTGTACTCCACATGCACAATATTTATATTATAGCAACATATTCATATATAACTATTAATAAAATTGAAGTTTGTTACTTGTTAGAGAACAAAGTAAGTAATAATTCAACATAGACAGTGCTCTTTTTTGTTCTGTAACCCTTTGGATGTACATTGAACCTTCCCATAAACTGGGGTCACTTCAATTTTCTCTGGGCCACCAAGGATGATAGCCCATGCCTCATTATTTGTATCATTGAATTCTAACTTGAATATATTTTAAAATAATTTCAACTGTAATTTCAATGGATTTTCTACGCTCGAGTTGAAATGTTTTGTTAGAATTTTTTTGTTTTCATTAGCGAAAAAACAATCAAAGTGATTAAACAAAATGTCAATATGGCGAGTGAATGACAATCTAAAGGAAAAAATGCTTAGAACATGTCAATATGGACATGGTTAGCAAAATGTCAACGAAAAACTCAAGAATCATATAAATATACAAAGGGCTCAAAAGTTCTCTCAAATAAAAAGTTCAACGCTCACACATACAAATAACTCAAAACTCACCACAAAGCTTACCAAAAGTGCTTAAACCTCACTCAATCAAAGAGCTTCATGATCACTCATACAAAGCATTCGAAGCTCACTCTTACAATAAGCTTAACCGCTAAACTCTTGCGAAGAGCTCAAACTCTAACTCTTACAAGGAGATCTAGCTCTATCTCACACCTACAACATCTAAGTTTTGAAATCATGACTTGAACTCCATATAATCTAAAAAAAGGAGCAAGAATAGACACAATGAGTGACCATAAGCATACATTGTTTTGTAATGTTGGTAAAAATCGGCTATCGACACATATATGATTAATTTATGTAGTAGACATAAATTCGTATAAGAAGACACTAGTTATGATTAAACATGTCTAAAAGCTAAACCTACATACTTTTAAATTGAAATGTCATAATTTAAAATTCACTATAAACAAAATTATATAATGTTTCATAATGTAATATGTTATTTTGAAAAATACATGACAGATCGAAAAAACTTATGAAAAAAGGTAATATATTCGTGGAAGTTGGAGATCACGTTAAAAGGCCTGAAATTGGCCTTTATATCCTTCATTCAATTTGCAAGGATAAGGTTTGACCATGTGCCTAACTATTGAACCAAACTATTAAACATGTTCACACCGCCCACATAGATGTTCGATAGATTGTGGACCTAGTTTATGTGTTTTTATGTAAGTTGAATATTGACCTTATCGAGCTGAATTCGATATTTTTTCATTGTTGCTCGAACAAAGGGAGTTTGGTTTCTTTAAGACTCAAGCGCAACTTAAAAAATACAAAAATATTCGAGATCTGCTCAAATTTTATTATATTGAATTTCGTTAGGCTTGAAGGTTTAGTAAAAAATTGGTATTTTCTTGAATTTTTTTCTCAAACTTCTACGTTAGTAGGGGTATCTTAGTAAAATACAGTTACACTCAAACAGTTCATCATCGAGCATTCTGACGTATATGTTATAACATGGTTCAAAGTGCTTGTGTTGTAACCAAATATTGACTCGAGCGTTCGAGAATGGCTTGATTCGTTTGCACCCTAGAGCCTTATCCATGAAAGTTGTAGGATTGAACAGAAGAAGAAAAAAAAAAAAAGATACTGTCTTTTTGCCTTTTATCACTTAGGAGCTATGTGTATCAAACTCTTATCACATTTCACAAAATATGTTCAGTCAAACTGAGTAATAAAAAATTTAACATTTCAGTTATGTTCAGTCTAAATTTTGGATTTTATTATATATATATAATAATATAAATATTTATATGTTTAGTTGTGTATTCATCCAACTATTGAAGGGTTTTAATTAATAAATTAGTTATTGTAATTAATAAATATTACTATTATTATTATTATTATTAAATTATTATTATTATTATTATTATTATTATTATTATTATTATTATTATTATTATTATTATTATTATTATTATTATTTGGGTGGATCTCTCAATGGTACCTATATAAGAGGGGGTTAATAGCATTATCACTTGTTCACACATCTAAATCAAAAGCAGTGTTCCTTTCTCTAATGGAACAGTTCCCCACTCACTCACTCAACACTGTTTTTGGGGGTTTCAAGATTTTACTTTTCTTTTTTTTTTAGGGTTCCCAATAAAATTAACAAAACCAACACCACATATCACTAAATAAATCATTACTTTTTTTTTTCAAAAAAAAAAAAGAAAATAGAAATTATGAAGCAAGAGTGAAGAAGGGTAAGGGAGGTGACAGAAGAGAGTGAGCACAAATGGTGTATTTTCTTGCATGAAATTAATCATATGCTTGAAGCTATGTGTGCTCACTCTCTATCTGTCATCCCACCATTTCTCTTATTTCCTCTTCTTTCAACTGTTT